TTGATCTTGCTCAGGCTGGTCTTGAACCCATGAGCTCAAGCAATCCACCTGCCTTGGCCTCCAGAGTGATCTTTTCTTGAGGTGCTTACAGCTGGAGGCAGAGAGAGGGACATTACTCATGCTGTAGGTTGCATAGGTGTTTATGCTGATTGGCTAAAAGATACATTCCTTAGCAGGTTTCAGAACATTGGTTAACACCTGGTAGGAAGATTACTGGGGTGGGGTTACACCTCTCATCACCAGAAGCTGTTAGGATTCATCAAAAGAAACCTAATATTTGGGGAACAGCATTGGCTTAGGCAGATTCGCTTCAGACCAGAATGTAGCTGAAGATTACTAGTAGCTGGGACTTTCCTCCTCACCTCTCTGCTGCTCTTGCTGTGTAGGGTTTGTTATTGCTTTCTTCATGTAAAAGGCACCTGACCAGTGGCATCTGTACCTCACAACTTCAGGAGCAGATAGGAAGGCACTCTTCTCTTAGCCCCAGTTGAAGAACTCCTGAGAAAGAGCTCTGTCCTGCCTTGTGTGGTAGTGGGTCCTGGCCAGTTGTGCCAGGTAACCAGCTCTTTAACACTCAACTGTGTCTGGGGGACATAGTCACACCGGCTTCCCTTTAGCCTCACAGTATTGCTAAGAGGGGAGAGAATGAAGCAGAAGGCCATTAGCACAAAGTCTGGGACAGTGGTTCTCAACCTTCCTAATGCCGAGACCCTTTAATACAGTTCCTGTGGGTTGCGACCCACAGGTTGAGAACCGCTGGTCTGGGAGAATGCTTTGCAGGGGAGCTATTCTACATTGTGAAACTCTGCATATTCTTTGTGGCAACCCTGGGTGAATTACTTGATCTCCCTACTGTCACTTTCATTTATAGCATGTGAATAATTCTTACCATGCAAGGTCTTGTGAAGTTGATTGTATAGAAAGCTAAAGTGCTTTGTCCTATATAGGGCATCTAGGAGTGAGAGGCCACTGCTGCTCCTACTGGTGTTTTTAATGTTGGCATCATCCTTTTCCCACCAAATCCCCATAATAACAGTGTTTCCCCGCCTTGTAAACCTTCAGTAGCCCTCCATTAACTATTGAATAAAGTTGAATTGCCTTACTGTGCTGTATTTATTTTCAGATCGTTCAAGATCTAGTCCCTGTAATCTTTTCAGCCTTGTCTCTAAATTCCCCTCTTTGCCTGTGTCTCCAACTATAAGACTACTCTCCTGCAAAAGCGGGAGACTGGGAAGTAGAGTTTCTTGCATCTGTGCCTTTGCTGATGTTGTTTATTTGGCTTGGAATGGCCCCTGTCCCTTCCCTCTCTCCTTATTGGATTCTTTCTTACTCTTTTCTTAAAGTGCCAGATTGACCCACGAAACCTGGTCTCTTCAGTGTTGATTCCCTGGAGTTCACAGCCCTTTGTGCCTGTATTCCCGTAACATTCATTTTTGCTCTGTGCTATACTTGTTAAAATATGAATCTTTTTTTTTTTTGGAGACAGAGTCTCACTCTCTTGCCCCAGATAGTGTCATCATTGCTCATAGCAATCTGAAATGCCTGGGCTCAAGTGACCTCTTGCCTCAGCCTCCAAGTAGCTGATGACTGTTTTCTTCTTTTTCTTTTTTAGTTTAGACAGAGTCTCACTCAGTCACCCTGGGTTGCGTGCCTTGGCATCATCATAGCTCACAGCAATTTCAAACTCTTGGGCTCAAGTGATCCTCTGGTCTCAACTTCCTAAGTAGCTGGGACTACAGTTGTTCACCACAAAGCCCGGCTGGTTTTTTTTCTATTTTTAGTGGAGACAGGGTCTTGCTTTTGCTCAGGCTGATGTCAAACTCCTGAGCTGAAGAAATTCACCTGCCTCAGCCTCCTAGAGTGTTAGGATTACAGGAGTAAGCCACCATGCCCACCTGGCCTTAAGTGACTTTTTGCGAGCGTCTAAACCAATATTTTATAGACTCTCCTAATTTAATTTAATTTAATTTAATTTTATTTTATTTTATTTTTTGAGACAGAATCTTACTCTATTGCCCTCGGTAGAGTGCCATGGTGTCACAGCTCAAACTCTTGGGCTTAGGTGATTCTCCTCCCTCAGCTTCCTAAGCAGTTGGGACTACAGGTGCCCGTCACAATGCCCGGCTATTTTTTTGTTGTTGTTGTAATTGTCATTGTTGTTTGTCAGGCTCAGTCCAAGTTCGAACCTGCCGGCCTTGGTTGTATGTAGCTGACGTCGTAACCACTGTGCTATGGGTGCTGAGCCAGAATGTCCTAATTTTAGATTTTTTTATTTCCTGCTGATACGTGTTTTAATTATTTTCAGTTATATCTGTAAGTCTCTTCTAATTTCTTTCTTTCTTTCTTTATTTTTTTTTTTTAAGAGACAGAGGTTTACTTTGTCGCCCTTGGCAGAGTGCTGTGGCGTCACAGCTCACAGCAACCTCCACCTTTTGGGCTTAGGTGATTCTCTTGCCTCAGCCTCCTGAGTAGCTGGGACTACAGGCACCCACCACAATGCCTGGCTATTTTTTTGTTGCAATTTGCCTGGGGTCAGATTTGAACCTGCCATCCTTGGTATATGGGCCTGGTGCCCTACTCCCTGAGCCACAGGCACTGCCCCCCCCTTTTTTCTTTTTTTAAGACAGAGTCTTAAGCTGTCACCCTGAGTGGAGTGTGGTGACCTCACAGCTTACAGCAACCTCAAACTCTTGGGCCTAAGCAATTCTCTTGCCTCAGCCTCCCAAGTAGCTGGGACTATAGGCGCCCACCACAACGCCTGGCTATTTTTGGTTGTAGTTGTTATTGTTGTTGGGCAGGCCCAGGCTGGATTCGAACCCACCAGCTCTGGTGCATGTGGCTGGTGCCTCAGCCGCTGAGGTACAGGTGCTGAGCCAGTGTGTCTTCTAATTTATAATCCTAACAGTGGTACTACTTTTGGGGCCTGTCTGACCCTTTTTCTATTTACAATAATGTTATTTTTAAAATTGTGTTTTGAGGCCGGGGGCTGCAGTGGCTCACGCCTGTAATCCTAGCACTCTTGAGAGGCCGAGGTGGGCCGATTGCTTGAGCTCAGGAGTTTGAGGCCAGCCTGAGCAAGTAGAAATTCTGTCTCTACTAAAAACAGAAAAACTAGCCAGGTGTTGTGGTGGCCTTACAGAAGGTAATCCCATCTGTAATCCCAGTTACTCAGGAGACTGAGGCAGGAGAATCTCTTGAGCCCAGGAGTTTGAGGTTGCTGTGAACTATGACACCACAGCACTCTACCTAAAGCAACAGAGTGAGACTCAGTCTCAAAAAATAAAATAAAAGAAAATTGTATCATGGAGGAAGAAGATCAAGAATGAATATTTTGGTTCTTACCTTGTTCAAGTTAACTTTGCATTCTAACCTCACTGGGTATTTTCAAACCTAATTATTATTTTTGAATATTGGCTTTATACTTTTGGAGGGAAGGTGAGCATTAAGGACATTTATATGCTTAAGGAATGTTTTTTGCTAACCATGTTTTCTTTCACTGTGTTACTATTATTAGTAAAGAACTCTTTTTGAACCTGCTTGATATTAAAAAAACTTCTCTAAAATGTATGAATTTTCTTCACGTATTTATAAGCAGAATGAAAGGACTATTCTCTTTAGCACCTCTGAACATGAGTTCTTGGGGCTCAGGATGTTGGATGTAGAATGTCCATAGTTTCAAGTGGGACAATTGTTTTTAAAGCACAAGCACATGATATTGGCTTGTTTTGTTTCTTTCTCACACAGGTGGAGTATAGAAAAATACACTTTGATTGGCTCAGCGCCTGTAGCTCAGTGGCTAGGGCACCAGCCACATATACCGTAG